TTTTTACCTCCCCCAAAAAAAAAAAAAAAAAATCACAATCCCTGGTTATCAAAACTTTGCAGTATTTGCAAGGCCATAAAGACTTTGGGTGGGCTCTGTTGACCTAGAGTAGTGAGCAACCAACTAGAAAACTCCCTAGAAACACCCCACACACAACCACTAGCATCATAGTAGTGGGTTTTCACACACATAACCATAACTCTCATCTTCTTCAGGAAATGTAAATTATCTAGATTTTATATATAATTTTACATATCTCTCTCTCCCCTTCTCCCCTCCCTTTCTTGGTGTAGGTGATCCATACATGCTGTCCATGTCCCCATCTCAGTCTCATGGTCCAAAGTTCAGTCATCTAATCACAGGCACACCCAACCATTCAACCCCCAGACTCAAGAATCGCCACAGCATTGGAGCAGTGAGTTGTTGTTGTTGGATTCAATTTATGCATAGATTTGATTCTCGTTTACTGTTTTGTGTTACTTTGTCTACTGTAATCAAACAGGAAATTTAATAGGCCTTGAAGAAAAAAATTTTAACCTTGAAATGTATCGTTTTTTTCTTCCCATTTTAGTCAACTGACTGCAATCATTACACACATGAGTAGCAGTCGTCTGTAATAAAGCAATGCAGCCCTGAGACAAACTTCTTAGTACATAAATAAAATTCATGATACAAAAATTGGTAACACTTTAGTATAGTGACCAATTCTCACTATTAACTAGTTGCTTATTAGCATGCCTATTATAAAAATATTGGCTGTTTATTAGTACTTCTAAAGCACTTATTCTGCATAACCATATTCTACATCACTAATACCCAATACCTAAACTTAACAACTACAGGGCTTGAATTTCAGCGCGGGATTGCGCATAATTCTTCTGATTCCCGCAGTTTCCGCGCTTGTAACAGAAAATTCCCGCAAATATTTCCGCGTGAAAGACGCTCAGGACAGATGACGTAATGTATCATTTGCACATGCTTTTGAGTCTTACAATTTTAAACATTCAAGTGCTCAATTCAGTACTTGCACGCTCTCTGTGAACTCGCACCCAAAGCGCGCACACATAGAGCCGCATCTGAGAGCGCGCGACTACTCTAACGTGCCACTAACTTTAAGTAGTACAGTGAAGTTAAAGAAATGTAACGCTTTAGAACAGTGGCGTAGCCAGACAAGAATAATTACATCGTTCTAATCGGTTAAGGGTCTACATTTGTTTGTGTACACTCACAATAACAACTAAACGTTGTGCGCTGTAAAATAATGAAACCAGACAGGATACTATCTCTGCCGTCTCGATCCCTGTGAACTTGAGCGCATCAAAAATGAACCGAAACTACGGAGCCCCTAAAGGGACGTGGTGGTGGGAAAAAATCAGATTGAGTGAAAAAATTTGGGGTGGGAGGAAAAAATATTTGTCAGATTTTTTGCGTTCCCTCGATAAACTTTGCGTTCTCTCGCAAAGATATTTGCGTTCCCTCGCAAAACGCAAATATCTTTTG